CATTGGGCAAGTGGCATGAGGGCTCAGAGCTCACCAACATCTTTACAGACGATCCATACCTAGAAGGGACAGACTCAACCAGCGGTACCTACCACAGTTCAGTCCTCAAGCCACCACAGACCTCCCACTCCGCACAACCTCCGGGGGCTCTGCTGTTATTGCACTGCTTTCTGCACGTGTTGTGTCTCTTCCCTCAAGGTCTGGCTGCTAATTCCAGGGAATATGCTTTTCAGGATGTCACAGTACACCATGTACAGCTCTGGGTCTATTTTGGGCCTGGGCAGAGCCCTGGAGTTGCAGGGCTGCTCGGTGGGGGGGTGCTGTGGCCTGTAGACATCGCTGAAGAGTGCGGTGAGGATCTTGTGGGCAGCCTTGTAGGGGTCATCCTCGAACTGCACCATGGCCTTGAGCTCCGTCAGGGTGTAGCCGTTGTACCTCTTGCTGTCCTCGGCCAGGGGCTGCACCGTCTCGCCAATGTGCCTCACTTTCCACTTCAGGCATTTCAGGTCTTCCTTCACGTCCTCTAGTTCTTTCTCCATGGCTTGGAATTCCTTTGCGGTCACAAATCTCCTGCCAAGGAAAGAAGTGGCAGAGACAGGGTGGAGTTCAGAGGCTCGGAGGGGTGAAACCAGCCCAGCCTGCCTGGGAGCAGAGGTGGAGGTTTGGGGGGGATGATCCCGACCACGTCGCTGAGCACCATCCCCAGCTCTGATCTGTCAGGCTCCACAGGGCCAGCAGAGCTTCTCTCTGCTGGTACAAGGGGAAAGATGTGCTGTGTCGTTTTGGAAGGAAAGGAGGCACCTCAAAACTCTGCCCTGTTGAAGGAGCTGAGGTTGATGACCTGGCCCAGGGATGGTCTGTCATCAGGTCTGGAAAACTAAATGGGTGTATAGCAAACAGAGTATTTTGCTTCTTGGATAAGAGGGTTTAGTGGGAGCACAGAGCAGTTACTGGAGAATAAACACTGGAAACATCTAAATCATAAAATATATTTAATATATAAATATATAAATATATTTAATATATTTTTATGAGGGGCTCTTAATGACACTTAAACCCAAGTGGGTCATTTGAGGACTTAGGCACTTGTATGGTCTAGATACATACCTTTCGTGATCAGGATCTTCCAGATCTGATTCAAACCCCTTTCCTGTATTCTTTAAGTCAGTTTTAGAAGAGCCAGGAGCCTGGGAACTCTCTTCAGGAGTCGTTGTTGCTGGAGGCCTTGTGCTTGTCCTGGTTGGGGTCAGTGTGTGATCTGAAGCTGAAGCTTGTTCGTTTTGTGCTGTGTGAGGACAGAAGGTAGAGAAGGAAGCTGCATTGATCCCTGGGCTGACTGGAGAGGAGTCAGAGTATTGCTGTGGTGTGGCTGAGCTGGGTGTTAGACTGAGCCTGAGGCTGGCTGGGCAAGACGCCGGAGTAGTCCTTGCTCCGAGAGGGCTGGAACACGATATTGCTAAATTTGTATCTCTTTGCTCGAGTGGCTGAAGGTTTGGGGATTCTCCTGGGGCCAATCTAGTGATGGAGGTGATGTCCAGCAGGGTTTGATCCTGACCCATGGAGATCTGGCTGGTTGGTTCTGATGAAAGTGAAGAGCTGCTTGATGTGTCGCTGGAAGAGCTTGACGTAGCGAATGGGGGTATTTTCTGAGCATTATGGTCACTCCTGTTCCTCTGCGGGCTAGTGACACTTAGAGCTGGGTGTTGTGAAGCCCTAAAGAAAGACAAACACACACTTTTTCCTCTGGTCTGGGCTAAAGGCTTATAAGACAGTTTTAGGCCTATTTGGGGGCAGTTTTAAGCCTGTTTCCCATAACTGCATTCCCCCATAGGCTGATTTGCCTCTCAGGTCTGTGTAAAACCCTCTGCTTCTCATGACTAAGAGCAAAGTGTTTGAGCATAAGGCACATAAATTCAGGACCAGTTTCTCCCTGGTGCCCACTGAGCCCTTGTCAGCTATCATCAGTGTGATAATCACTGGAATATCCACATTCTGCTTCCCAAAAGTCACACAGCTCCACGAGAACCAAGGATTTGGGGCTGGGGAAGGACAGGAAGGGAAGAAAGCTGCTGACACATTGACTGGGAGAACACAAAAGGCTAAAACATGGCTTGCAGGTTGCCACAGCACCTGCCCTTGGCCATCCCTGCCGAGGGTGAAGACCTGCCTTCCTGCCACGGACCCACAGGCTTCAGTCTCCGGAGAGCTCTGCGTGGTACCCAGTGAATTAATGGGTGAATAAACAGGCAAGGGAGAAAGAGGAGGGCAGCACAGAATGATGTCACTGTTCCTGTGGTGACATAAGACATTTTTGTGTTTTTTGCTTAGTTTGTCAGTTTGGATGGCAAGAGAGGAAGATGGACCCCTGTGGCCTGGAACTGTCCTGATAGGTAGAGGATGCAGCCAGAAATGCCTTGACTTTGAAGGGGAGCACAAAGACACCCACTGTGCAGATCATGACCTGGGATTTCCAGCAGCCAAAGGACATGACAGACTTTTGTAGTGATGCCAGTGACCAGCTGAGTCTTCTTGTGCATCTGGTATATTCCTGTTTCTCTTGTGGTGGAAGACAGCAGAAAACCCTGGTCTGGATGGGATAGATGAGATCCAAAGCATGAAGTCCTGTCCTGTCAGCACCTGTGGCCTGAATTAGCTGCACAGTCACTTCTCACTTCCCTGAACCTTTCTCAGGGTTTGAGGCAATTAAACACCAAATTTTAAGGTCCTAAAGAGCTTGTCTCACACCTCTGGGCTTCAGTAGGGTTAATGTGCTAAGTCATGGCTTAATTATCAAGTTTAAATCAAATTTAGAGCTTTTATAATTGGACAAGCAGGAAGTAACAGAGCTACTGCATAAAAACAAAGCCAAGAAAGAATCAGAAAATGAGTTCTATAAAGGGCTGGAGAGAAAACAAGTGCAAGTGTCAGAGGCAGCACCTGTCCCTGGGAGTGCCTTGCCTTTATCAAGTGGTTGAACAGGGCTGAAAGGCCAGGATTGCCAACTGGATTTGAGGAAGAGCTTTTTCACCTGCAGTGTGAAACACTGGGACAGAGGTCAAGAGATGTATTGGGATCTCAGTGCTTGGAAGTGTTCAAAACTCAACTGGACAAGAAAAGAAGCAGCCTGATCCATCCTGGACATGCTGGGAGCACGGGACTGGACTAGAGCCCTTTTGGGGACCCTGCTCTCACTGTGTCAGTCTGTTCTGCCCAACTATGAAAACACATAATTTCCCCCACAATTTCCCTTCCTTCTTTCACTTTTCTCCCCTCTGAGTCCCATCTCACCATCCTCTTCCACTGGAGCCTCTGGGCTGTCCCATTCCATACTGACTTTATAAGGCCTGTTGCAGGAGCGTCCCTTTATAAATAAAAGGGTTTTTAAAGGAAAAACAGTGTTATTTGGCTCAGAGGAATTGCTGCCCCTTCCTTGCATAATGAGGGGGAATCAGTAGCTGAGGCTTTGGAAGAGCAGACAGTGGGACTGAGGGCAGCCTGGAGCTGGACATCTGTGCTGTGTCGCCTTTGGAAACTCAGCTGCTGTTCCTCAGTCCCTCCTGAAAGCAGGGAATGATGGGAGTGTGTTGGGTCATGCTGTGTGGTGTTCAGAAAGTTGGGATTTGGCTGCTCTAGGACCAAGAGGAATGGAAAGACTGTTTTCCTGGCAGAGGCAACACAAAATTACTGGTTATTTAAATCAGAGCTGAATCTTGGGCATTCATTATTCAGGAAAACCTATTTTGCTGTAGCAAAGTACAGGAATTTTATTCTGCCAAGACCAAACCCCATTTTAAGGCCACTAAAATAAAAATACCTGTTGTAACTTTTTTGTTTGTTTGTTTGTTTAAAATACACGCATTTGTCCTCAAACATCTCACAATGCAAAACTACCTGAACGTGAACGGAGCAACAATTCCTGGCTACATTCTGAGGGGGAAATATAATATGCACAGTAAAGAGAAAGGCTATTTGGGTGCATATACAGTCTGAAATACTTCATTGCTCATGTCCAGCAGTGTGGGACAGGTTGGCTTTTGAAGGGGGGGGGGAAGGTTTGTTTGGGGAGGTTTTTTTGCATAAATCCAGGATTAGCTGTAGGAGATGAAACATTTACTGAAAGATGCAATTTCAAAGAGTGACAGAAAGCACGTTTCATAACTAATCCCACTGAAATTTATATAAGAAACCTTTCCAATTCACCTGTGCACTGGAGGACACAAAAAAGTATTATAAACTATCAGCTTATTTTGCTTTCCTTTTCCACCCTTTAATTTTCATGGGCTGCTGTGCTAAACGTGGGACTGAATTTACTTTTTATCAACACGCTTATCTTGGAAAAAGAGGAGCTGGTTGCTTAAGAAGCAACGCTGAAGGAAAATGTCGGTCTGGACGCTGGCAGAGCTAAACGAGGACAGAACTGAGACCTTTAACTTTGGAATTTCCTGGTGGGCAAGAGTTTGCCTGAAGACAGGAACTATGATTCCCATGGCAGGCAGTGCAGCTGGGCTGGTGGCAGATCCGTAACCACGGTGCTCCATCAGAGGGGATTTTTTCCCCCGCCTGTTTTTACGAGGCGAATCAACCACGAAGGGAATAAATTACGGGAAGAATTGCAAGTCCCGGGGTTGAAATCAGCGCTGACATCAAAGAGGCAGCGCCTGCAGCTGTCAGGTACCTCCACAAGGAGAAACCTTGGCTCAACTTTGAGCGACACTTCACACGCGTCAGGCCCTCGTTGTCTGCGCCTCCCAGCCCGGCGCTGCTCAGCATATCAAGCATGTTCCCCGTTGTCACAGTGACCTTGGCTGCCGTCTGTGCCTTGCCCTCTCCAGCTGAGCTTGTGCAACAGACTGAATTTGGAGACATTTGGAACTTGCCTGCACGTCCAGCACCACTTTCACCTTCTGTGGCGCTTGCGACCACGGATACAAAAAAAAAAAGAAAGAAAAAAAAATCCAACCAGTGGATATTATTTTTTTTTTATGAATCATTTCCACCATGTTTCAAGTCTGGAGTTCTTCTGGTGAACTTGTCTGAATAGGAAAAAATCACACTATGCTCTAGAGTGAAGCTCTGAGGGGCTGGTTGCATAAATCTTGCTGTAGACAGTCGGGGTGGGAGGATGGTAGAGGAGCTGTGGGATGGACTCAGGGGAAATGCCTACAGGGTGATGATATGAGAATAAAACTATCTTTTTCAAGGCCTCCTCTTTGTCAGGTGACCCTCCCAAAATGCCCACGCTGCCAAAACAGTGACTATATTATTTTTTTGACACTGAATTAATTCTGAATAATCTTTCACTTTTCTACAAGAGAGGCTGGTGTCCTGAACCCTGGGTTTATCTGCCTCGGATAACACCAAGGCTTTTAGCCACAGACAGGAGGAATATGCTGTTTCCTGCTCAGCTCTTGGCTCCTCTGGGCTCCCTGTCTCTTCTTTAGCTTTGCCACCACACCTGTCCCTCCTTGCCCCTTGTGACATTTCTCCTGCCTTTCTCTTACCTACCCCTTGTTCTACATCCACCATCTGCACCTCTCCCATCTGCCCTGTGGGTTCCAGGCTCATCCTATTAATGCCTCATGGTGGGACAGCACTGGAGGAGAGGGTGGAAGTGGCATGGACATACAGATGCCTGAAATCAGGTACTACTGCTGTCTGGAGCCTGATAATAGTGAGCATTTCTGGGCAATAAATAACTGTGCAACAACAGAAAAAAAAATCCTGATTTGAACTCTCTCCTTCAATCCTTTTTGTGCGGTGACTGTGCACAGCTGGAATCATTGAGATCTCCCAACCCTGCACATCTGAAGGAAACAGTTGAAACATCAAAATGACAGCAAAGAGACTTTAAGGGTGTTTAGGGCTTTGCAGTGGAAGTGCTAAATTTGGTGTGAGCAAATCATGACCAAGGATATCAGATGTATAGGGGCCAGTGCCATATGTTTGCACAGGAAGGTGGCTTGGTGAGAGCAGAGGATGCCAAGTTATACCTAGAGCTCCCTGGTGCTGTTCTTAGCCCAGCTCAGGCAAGTTTAAACCCTGTTAAAGGGGTTTAAAGGAAATAAAATGTGGGTTTTTTTAACCCTGGTAAAGGAAAATTATAGTTTAGTGGTGAACATTAAATGTTTTAATAGAGAAATATCAAGACTGAATGGTTGTCCTGCTCAAGACTCCCCTGGGATCAAGATTCTGATGACATTTATAATATAAGGTCACTTCTCAAAGCAGAAAGCTTTGTCTTGCCAACAGAGGAACCTGATATCCTGCCCTGGCATAAGGCCCTTCATGCTACCTGTGCTCCCACAGTGCTCCTGGGCTGCTCAATAACTTTAACACTGTCTCTTCCAAAATCAGCTGGCTGTGATGGCATTTGTCTTCTACAGTCACTCAGTCGTGTTCTTTTCTGTAAAGGTTTCACTCCTCAGTGACACTCCCCCAAACCCTTGCCTCTCAACAAGGACAGATGCCCTGGTTTGTCTTTGTGGGAGGACAGAAAGAGTAATGATGTCTGAGCACGAGCAGATACTCCTTATCTGCCGTTTGGTTCGAATCAGAACATCCTCAGGGCACTTCTAAGTGAGGGCAGCTGGCAAGTCCTCCAGGGAATGAAACGCTGGTTGAAGTGAGCAGCAGGAATAACTTCAGGTGGTGCATCCTGGTGTCCTGCTGGCTTGGGATCACCTCTCTGGGAAGTGTTCATGGAGTGCTCAGAGTGATCTGCTGGCATTTGCTCTGTTAGTGGCATGTGGGTGGTGATGTGACCAGGCAGTGGTGAGGACTTGGCCTGTTCTGGGTGTCCCCTTCTTCCATCCAAGCAGACCCCAGGAAACAGGGGAGCCAGTGGAACCTCTGTGGCTGCTCTGCCTTTAGCCAAGTGCTTCTCACATCCTTCTCTTGCTCTTACCAATTCTCTGCTGGCCACGAGCCCATTGCATGGTTGATGTGGCAGAGTGGGAGTGTGTGAAGCCAGAAATGGCATCAAGGAGAATCCTCGGATCAGGTGCAGGCTTGATGGACTTGTTCAAGGAAGGAGATGTTCTTCTGAGAGTTGTGAGGATTTGTGTCATCCAGAGCAGCAGTAATTAATGTTTTTTTCCTCCCTAATAAGCATGAATAATGAAGATTCTGCAGCTTATATTGGATTCATAAGTAAACTGTGAACTGAGAGCAGAACTTCACTCCTGTCACTTCATTAATATTGATCTGATTTCATTACAGTGGGTAACAGATGTGAAGCTGAGACTGATGAAATATTGAAGAATGGCCACTGTTCTTTACCCTGACACTGGGCTTCTCCTTTGCAGTTTGTTTTCCCAGCGCTGTCAGCACTGTGGGGGTAAAACTCTGTGTCCTTTGGAATTGAAGCACTGGGGCAGGGCTGGGTGTAGGACCAACAAGAGCCTTGTTCCTATTCCTTGGAACACCTAATGTCAAGACTTGTTATTTGTTCTTTGAAACAAGGACCTTTGGACAGGCTTCAATAATAAAAAACGCACATTTGAGCACCCGCCAGTAGCTTGGCAGGTGGGGAATTTTCTCAGGAAACATGACCCAGAATCAATTTTGTACCAATAGACACGTTCAGGCCTGTGGAAATGAGGGATGTGGATTTCCTGCCTGTGGAAAGGTCCATAACTGACACGACATTTTCAAGGAGCAGGAGTTACCAAGTGAGCTGATGACAAACCAAGCTGGAGAGCAGCGCCAGCACTATCATGCCTGTGGGGAGACCCCCCTGCAGTGACATGGGACTGGAGAGCAGTTCCAGCAGGTCTGGGGAGGGACCAGGACCCTCAGTGATTAGGGTTACAGACACCAAGCTTCCACGAGTACGTGGCTGAGATGTGCATCTCAGCAAGACAGAGGCAGCAAAAAATGCCAGGAGGTTTCCAAATTTTAAGAGCGCAGAGTCAGCAAGTCACTGTCCCAAGTCTCCCTCCCGCTGAATGAAGGATCACTTGCTTTCTTTCCAAGGAAATAGATGCATGAAACTGCACACATCTTTCCTGGAGAGTAAAGAAAAAGTATAGTATTCAGAGCAGGGCAGGAGCCATGCTCCAATTTTGCTCTGTACATTGAACCACTGAATCCCATAGTTTAAAGCAAGAGCTTTTGCAAAGGCTGAATAAAAGCATAGCAATTTTCTGAGAAAGTGCAAGAAATGGCATTAATTATACTAAGTTATTGTCTACCAAAGCTGCTTTCAATCATTTTTATATTCAATAGCATGCATCATCATGAATTGGTGATAAATATAGACGAAAAAAGGTAGTGATAATGAAAGTTATACAGGTGTAAATTAGAGCATATTTTTAAACTACTATGAAGTCACAGCTCCTTGAGATAACACAAAATTATAGGATATGTGCACATCCTAAATTGAACGGTGGAGAATTTTGCACTGTTCATATGCTGGTTGATTATCCCTTGGGCAGTACTGTCTGGGAGAGTAACAAACCTCTGTTTCCACAGCTTCCTACCCCAGACCTCATCCTGAGCCCCAGGGAGCCAGCGTGGGGACAGCACAAGCCATTGTGTATCGGACACACTCCAGCCATGGTCACTTACTATTTGGGGAGCAGCTATGGAGGCACTGTAACCTCAGGTCCCCAGCCTCAGCCCTCTCCTCCTCAGCCCTGGAAAAGAGAATATAGAAGTAGCACCTTTAACAGAAACGAAGGCTGCTCCCAAATATACAGAAATGGAAAGGTGAAAAGCGGTCAGAGCACAACACACCTGGGGCTCCTCCATCGATAGCCAGGCTTGTTATGGAGATCTTTCCACTGGCTTTGCCCCTCTTGGGGACAACTCATGTAAATAGGCCGTGGGGAATAGAAATGAGGGGCTCAGGGCTCTGTGTCTCCCACTCTTTCACTCCTCAGGATGGGTCTAAGTGTCAGGGACCGACAGCATTGTACACTGTGTGTTGGAAGTATGTTGCTACTGCTACACCATTTTACTGCCAGTCCCTGTAATTTTCCAGAAGGAACAGCTCTGTGGATAAACCTTCCTGTATTGCAGAATAAAGCACAGAATAAATCCAAGGCAGAAGGCAACACTCATCCCCATGTGATAATAAAAGGGGAATGGTAAGACTGGAAACTCTGATGTCTGTAGGAAAAGGTACTGACTCTGCGAATGGCAGGGACACTGGGTCAGTACTGAAAACCTCTTCAGATATCTGGGTGACCAAGGAGGAAGTCAAAGCAAAAGGTTGGCATGTCTTTGGAAAGCGTTGGTATGATCTGCACATCTTACACGAGGACAATGGAGTTAGAGGAAGCAAGCTGTGAGTATGATACATTACAGAAATGTACAAAAAGGGACAAAATAGAGTGATGAGGGATGGTTTGAAAAGTTCTGGTTCTCATAGTGTTGGGAATAGTCCTGATTTATTATGTCTGCAATAGCTTTGGTCCTGCCACCTGACTCAAACTGCTCCCAGCACTTCAAAACTACGTTTTCTGTCCCTGCAGGGACATTTTGTCTGCACTGGTATCAATGGCAGTTTGAACTCAGCTCACTCCAGAATTTCACCAGCAGCATCTGCCTGACGTTGGGTTGGTTTTGCAGATCAGAGTAAGGGCTCAGTCAGCAAGAAAAATGTTGTGAAATCAGCTGTAATGCCACAATGGGTGTTGATGGACAGCTGCAAGCTGGCAAGTGTTGTGCTACGGATGGCTGAGCTGGGGAAGGCTGAATCCTCCAGATTTACTTGCTAAATTTGTGGGTTGGTTTAACAGCACCTAGTCAGTGAGATTTGCTTCACAGGGAGCAAAAAGGCTGGATACCAAACTGGAGACAGGGCTGTGCTGATCTCTAGGGTCCCCTCTCCCACCAGTGCCAGGGTGGGATATCCTCCTTTATCCCTCTCTGCAGTGGCTTCAGTTCTGGTGGGACTCAGCACCCCTGGCCTCCTGGACATGGATGCACATCCCAAAGTTGCTCCTCTCTCCTTTTGTCATCACTAAAAGAGGGCCATGGGTAATCCAATTTTACTCCTATCACTTTGCTAACCTTCTATTCCTTTCTCAAGGCAGTGACTATCTCTCCATGAGGAGCTCAGTTGGATATGATTTCCACCCTTTCAGGCCCTTTATCCCTCACCCCAGGCCTCACATACCTTCACCCCAAGCCTGGATATTCCCTTGCCCCAGATCTTTCTCCCTGTAGCTACAACTATCCTTGTTCCAGCAGCTGTAACTCCTGCCCTGGGTCTCCATCTGCCTCACCTGCACTTTCTGCCCCCAGCACACCAAAGAGAGGGAAGTTTGCATTCTTTACCTGGAATCAAAGTCCACCAGAATTCTGGGAGCAGGGAAAGTCAGAGGTTAGTGGCTGAAAGGGGTTTTTTAATATGTGAAGAAAGGAAGGTAAGAAACTGAGGACAAATTTAGGAAAGGACATTCCATGTGAATAACCTGGCTGTGCTGGCCCTTGCCTGAATGGATGTGATTATAGTGTTGGTGTAGCCAGTTGGTCTAAATGAACAGAATTTTTGTGAATGTGTCTTGATTATTACACAGCCATATGGACAAAGCTGCTAGAACAGCTGGGCAGGGGAGGAAGAGGAGGTCTGGCACGTTGACATTCCTTCAGCTGATTGTCACAGATTATCAGTCTGTATAGGAGAAAATGAATTTTCCTTGTCCCTTTGGCTTATCTGGTGGGATCCTTAGAGCAAAGAAAGCAGAAAGGTGTGTGAGGTTCCTCCTCTGCCAGCTGGGGTGAACCATAGACAAGGGACTATGATCAAGACCATACGGGGAAAGAGTATTCATGTGAAACAGGGCAGAAAGAGAAACTGAGAGGGAAGGACGAGAGAAACTTATCAAGAACTGACACCCAATAAACTAAAAAAGCTGAAAAAGATGAGCAAAAGTTTTAGACAAATACTCAGTTCAAAGGAAAGACGGCAAAAAAGGACAAGCAATGAAAGGACAAAGACTGAAAGCTGACATGTTGTAGGTAATTCTGATCATTTTATAGAACACTTAATGCATGAATAATCTCTCCAAGTCTGTATAATTGAGCTGTTTAATTTCTTAGAGTTACCCTGAAGGCTATTGTACCTGTTCTATCTGAAGAGCTCTAATGTCTTTTGATTTTATGGTGTGAACTACAGAGCCTCTTTTGTCTTGACTTTTTGAAGTATCCCAGGCCTGGGAAGGAAACGATTGTTGCATATAACACCATGAATCTTTGATTTTTCTGCAGCTGTTTAAACATTTTCCCAGTGACAGGAACAAGGGGATGCTTGGCTGTGGAGAGACACAGCCTGTGTCCTTGGGGTGCAGGCAGGCAAAGAATTTGGCTGTCTCTGTTTGTGACTCGTAAGCTGCATGCAATTAAAATTAAGTGCAATACAATGAGATTACGTTTGAGAAAGCATTTGCAAGATTAACACTATTTTACTGTCGGTACTTTTCATAAAGCAAATTTCTTCTCTGGAAGCGGGGGCCTGGAGAAGAACATTCCAACAAAAAACTCTGAACAGGCAAAATGGAGCTAACACTTTTCTTCCCTGTCTCTCAGATGATAAATGTAGCTGTTGGGAATAATGATAACTACAATGATAATAATGCTTTAACTTTCCTGTGGCACAGAGTCTGTCCAAAAGAGAGGTTAGATGTGTGTGTACACTGGTTGCTGGATGGGCACCGAGGCAAAGGAACTTGCAAAAAGGGTAATGATATGTACAAAGTAACTGGAAGGAAGAAAGGCTGGAGGGTTTTATTCATGAAGTATGAAAAGGAACACGGAGGTGGAGGAGTAGGAGGGAATGTGAAGTATCCCTGGGTATATGCACAGGAAGGAAGGAGAACTTATTTTATTTTCTATTTGTGCAAAGGCAGATGGGAGCTCAGGGAAGTTGTGTGGGACTGTGGGCACCCACAGAATGTAGCAACAGGGTGTTGCTAATGGACAATCCCTGGACCCCCTGTAGTCTCTGAGTATTCCCAGGTCACAGCAGTGAAGCTGATCATGAATAGGATAACTTTAAAAAAAAAAAAAATTGGTATATTGCTGCACAGCTTGAAACCTCCAGAATGATCCCATGGTAACACTGACTCTGGGCTTCCTATTATGTATTCAGATACAACAATTAAAATAATGTGATACAAAAAAAGAAAGTCATAATCATGAAGTTTGGGAACACCACATGCTTGAGCTGTGTGTGCCAAGTGTGTGTGGAAGGGCTGGGGGGATGTGACCAAGGAGTGAATTGCTGGGGGCGAAATTGTGTCATATGGTGAGGGCAAGAGGAATCAAAATCAAACCCACAACGCCCATGTGAGAGAAAAAGTTATTGTCCTCTAGGCCACTAATGTTGTTTTTGCTATTTACTGTTCCAGAAGGCTCAGTAGTGGTACTTTATCAAGTTCCCTTAGCATTTCTCAATGTAAGTCAACATATTGTTCCTTATAATTCTCCCAGGCTCTAGTCTGCAATTCTCCCTTTAATAATTTGTCTGTTTTCCCTCCCTGGGTGCTGATTTCTCCTGAGGCACATAGTGACCCCTTCCTCTTCACTGTGTTTGTTTTTTTTTTTTTTGTTTTGTTTTGTTTTGTTTTGTTTTTTTTTTTTTTTTTTTTTTTCTCACACAGAGAATTTTTTAGGATTCACTGTCATCTTCAAATGCAAAATTAGGCAAACGGTGCTTGTTTGCATCATTTCTCTCTTCCTTCCAGGCTGTTTGAAAGGTAGAGTGAAATCTTGGAAGTTAACAGAGGAATAACATTAACCACAGACTAACAAACAACAGGATAGCCAAGGCAAAATAATAAGGATGGAGGATCTCTAGCGCTCTCTGAGAAGAGATCCTCACTTTGCTGCTGAAACGCTGATTGTTGCAAACCTTCTGTCCCCTCCCACCACTGAGAAACTGCCACACTGGTCAGACAAGCAGGAATAGGTCCTTGTGTCTTCTGTCCCCAAAATATCTTTACGTCACTTCAAGCAATGAACTTCTGGTGAGGGTTTGCTGTGCTGATCAGCCTTTCGTTCCGTGAAGGTACAAACCCCTGTGGAGCCCATCACACCTTCCCTGCTGTGTGAGGTCCATGTCTGCGTGCTCTTCCCATCCCACAGTTTTAAAACAAAGCCTTAAGTTTCTCACCAAAGGGTGAGGGTGACAAATGTCCCAGAGCAGCCACACGGGCCAGCTACGAGCACGTGGGGCAGCGTGTGGTGATGGGCAGAGTGACAGAGCATCTCTGGGGCCCAGGCAGGGCTCAGGGTCCCTCTAAGCCCCTGGTGGCAGTGGGGGTGGCACTGTGTGGGTGGCACTGTGTGGGTGTTTCTGCAGTGCCTTGTGATGTACACCCTGTATTTGTGTGGAGCAGCTGCAGAGCATGGGTCGTGTGGAGGAGACAGAGATGGGTTGTAGACCTGTGACTATGAAAAATGACAGCTCCAATGGCCTAGTGGTGGCTGAAAAAAGCCTCAGCATTTGTTGGGATTCTTGGGAGGTGCCTATTTCATGTGTTGAGAAATGATGGCTGCCACATTCCTTGCATCCCCACAATTTTACCTCTCCAGAGAGGGAAAATCAGCATACATTGACAATACAGCTTCTTGTGACTGCCTATGGATTGGATGCATATGGCAAGGACTTGTCAGTCTTGAGTTTAATGAGCATGTAAGAAAGGGCAGGCACTGGGACATCACAAAAACAAACCAAGGAGAACCCTTTGGGTTTAACACACACCTTCTCCAGGTATCTCAGAGAGACTCCACCCACATGTGCTGCAGTGGGTGACAGCCTGGATTTTCTGGGACTAGCAGAGCCCAAGAAAACCTCCCCTGAGGGAGCGACTGACTGCACTGACCTTTCTCTGAAGTACTTGATGGCCTCCTGGTCTAGGAAGTTCTGCTCTTCTCGAAAGCCCTGCTCGAAGATTTTGCGCTTGTGCCTGAACTCGATGACAGTCTTAGTGTAGGAGTTCAGGGTGGTGACAGAGGCTGCCATGCAGCAGGTGAAAGAGCCCCAGGCCAGACTGTGGAGAGAGAAGCCAGCAGACAGAGCTGGGTTAGCACAGCAGCTCATGGTATATTCCTGATGCCAAGGGACACACACATGCACAGCATGAGACCAGGCAGGGGAGCCAGAGGTGGCAAACCCATTCTTCTCATCTTGCCTCAAATGACCTGTGGCTCGTGCTCAAGGTGCAGGCAGGAGGTTGGGAGAGGGCAGGGCACAACCTCCATCCCATGGAGAACCATATGGCACAGTGTTAATGTGAACACTGGGTGCTCTCTGACAGAGCTGCCAGACACCTCCTGATTTCCCTCTGAAATGTCTCAGAGCCTTGCAGACAAGTGCTGACATCCATATACTCCTGGAGGGAGTAATGCCTCAGGGACCATGTCTTTCAGACCAGTGGAAGTTCTCCAGCATCCATGGGACACCGACTGCACGGGGCTACTGCAGGGATGGTTTCTAATCTGGCTTTTATGCCTTCACCAGACTACTGTAATTACCTCTTTCCTGGACATTTTTAACAATTCTGGCCTATATCTGGTCTCTGAAAGCCTGCCCAGAATAGAAGACAGCACTTGCATTTTGTGGAGATCCCCAACCTGGGGGTTTCCTGATTGACCCTCCCAGTTTGTAGGCCTTGGTCAGCCGGGGGCAGGACACCTGCAAGCACCAACCAAGTGCATGAAGAGACAGAGGGAGAAGGAAAATAAAAGAAAAAAATGACTGGGCCAAGTTAAGCAAGTGTTATCCTGGGTCTCCTGGCAAGGAGAGTTATCTAGGAGCTGCTTTGTTCCCTGCCTGAGGATAGGGTTTCCCCTCAGGTTCTTCTGCCCTCCCTACTCTTCACTGACCTCACATTCAGATGGGGCTGGGGGGATTCATGGCCTCAAGGAGTTAAGATACTTTTGGAGCTTGAAAAGGGGCTATATATATATATAAAAAAAAGACACTGAATTCCTCCTTTTGTCTGCAGAGCTTCTCTGTGTTCTGGCTCCCCTTGACTCTCACATTCAGCCCATCAGCTCTGGCTACTCAGAGTTCTCAGTGGCTTCCTAACTAACTCGGATTAACATCATCCTCTGTGACAGTGACACACTTTACCTGCTGCTTTTTTCACCTTTTCTATAATAAATGGACCTGAATTATGCAGAGCAGAAAGAATACAGCCCCAGCAGCATTATCTTATAAACATGCATTGTCAACACAGCTCTCAGCATGAGCTATTTTCCCATTCTGCAAAGGACCTGCAGACAAGGAAGCAGCTTCTCATTTCAAATTAGGCAAAACTTGAAAAACAACACATATTCATGAACTGAAAAAAAACAAAAAAAAAAATCTAGGGGAGAAAAATGGCTCAAGTAAACAGAAATGGTTCATTTCAATGATTTCAAAATTCAGCTCCTAACAAGTCCTTCAGGGACTCCCGAGGCAATGAGACGTGTGGAGGCAGCTCTTTCCTCGTCATTTTTGGACCCATTTGCCAGATGCAACCAAATGAGAAGGAAATGTAGTGACCCCCGGGGTGACAAAGTTCCTTCAGGTTTCCCGTGGTTGGGTGAAGAAGTGGAAAGGTGCTAGGTGTGATTGCTCAGGCACACTGTCTTCCCATCCTGGCATGTGTCCTCCTCCTACATGGAGTGTGTGGAAAAGCTCCAACAGCTGCAGACATTTCCAGCTGGGCTCCTAAACAGTATCCAGGAAGGAGCCAGCAAAAACCACACACTTCTGCCTGGGGAATGACACTGGGAGGAAAATTTTTCTTTTTGAAGTTTCTGATGATTTCTAATCATGCACTCAGAAATGCTGAAAGGTTCAAGGAAGGAAATACAGAGCGAAGGCTCTTAATGTCTGGCATTTGGTAAATCATAATAATTAGGCAATTATGACGGATCTGTTTTAGTTTTTATGGACTTTGGTTAAGTGTTATTTATTTTGAAGTGTCAAGAGTGGTTCCCCTACCTTTAAGAGTTAAACCCTGCCTTTTCCAGGTCTGCTATCCAACACTGGCATGCTGTGAGAGACCCCATGGTGTCCCTTAGGCTGCTGAAAATGCTCCCAGGGCAGCTGTGGCTGAGCTGTGTTTGCCCTACACCCTGCACAGATAAATGTCTTGCCTTGGAAGGTATCAGGAGACCTCCAAATCCGAGAAGATGCCTTGTGAGTGCAACAGCAGGAGTGGAGCTCAGCTGTGACCCCACAGTCACTGTGTGGAGGGAAGCTGAGGTCCCACCTCAGGAATATGGGGAAAGAGGAGGTTGGTCTCACATATTTGCCTGCCTGTGGGTTTCTCCACAGTGAGACCTAACCCAGGGGCAATCCTGGTCCTTAAATCTGTGCCCTGGCTGTGGCTGCCCGGGGAGAGTGAGGGAGAGGCTGCAGCAGCTGCTCTGGGACAGGGCTGGGGTCTGGACAGCAGCCAGAGCTTCCAGCTCCGTTCCTTTGGGACACTGGGCTCCCAGCAGCTGGCTTGGAGCATGGGTGGGATGAGTGGGTCCAGGGAAAGCTCAGAATGCCCCGTGGGACCCACCAGCTCTGAGACATGGGGGTTCTTGGCTTGTACAAGATGAAGGAGAATAATCTAATGAGTGTTTATCATTCCAGATATTTAACAATATTCTGAATTTTGAGTACTGCAGTAAATTGTAAAATAGATTACTGAAGACAAATATGCCTTATTATTTAAATATATTGAAAATTATACAATTATTATGACAGAGTTTTTATAAATATTAATATAAATATTATATGAATGCAGTGTATTTATAAGAAGTTCATCATTTCAATGCAACAAATATTCATTATTGAGACACGAAATAAACTGTATTTTAAATATAATGTGATTTATATTTTGTAACATGTTGCTAAAATGTTGGTAACTCCTCCCATGAAACACAGTATAAAGAGGGGAGAAGGAAAGACTAATAATCCCCTGCAGTGCTGTGCATAAGTATTTGTATTTATTTATTGGTGTTAGCGAAGGTTGTTGTCTCTGCTTTGAGATGGAAAGAAAATAATGTGCTATATTTAGAAATGAAAAAAAGAAAGTATTTTCCCTATCCATCCAAAGAGGCTGATGCCTCTAGAGGAATGGTGATGTTGTTTGCAGGTATTTTTATTCTCCACAGCCTCCTCTTCTTGTTAAGCTTCTTATAAACTTGCAAGCAATATAACACAGTTGATGTATCTTGGCCAAATTATTTTTATGTGATTTTTAAAAGATAGATGGGAAAGGTAAGAAGAAAGCCATGTCTGTTTTCCCAAGCCATCTCCTCACGATCTGCAGGGAAGCATTGCCGTGCCAGCAGCACTGCACCTTCCTCTGCAGCTGAGTTAAAAGCTGCACCGCAAGGTTCAACTGAGACATTAATTAAAAACCAAAAAAAAGAAAAAAAAAATGAAAGAGCTAAAAGTCTCTGAAATGCCATGGCAATTATGTACCTAAATTGAACTTTAATGAGAGTGCTCAATCTGTGTTGGTAATTGTGGGTGCTGTTTATTTACAAATGCTCTGTACCTGCTGATAGGCACAGCTGCTGCTGCACCGATAACTGTCCTCCACACCTCGAGAACTGCACGGCCCCAGGGGTTTGTGCTCCTGGCACTCCGGGAGCTGGGAATTCATATGCAAGCTCCTGGCAGTTGGAGGTGACATGCACCATCTCCCAACAGACTGATGGAACAGCTCAGAAAAGCAGGTGACACTTACCAGAAGGACCATCCATAGTCCCATGAATGTGGTCGCCAGTCCTCTGGCCCAAGGCTGACTGTCACTTGGAAAACTTGAGTATACATCATGTGTGCCACCATCCCCAACAGACCTGGGAAGCAGGGATCACAACAGGCATTTTTGGGCTAATGTTTGTTACAATTCTTGACATAGTTACTGCTGGAAGTGCTTTGAGAGCTCCGAAAAAGTCTTTGTTGTACTTCTATGCCTCCTGTTCTACTGTGGAGGAGGGAGCTGCATGGGCAGAGGAGAGATGTGACTGAGAGCTCATTATTTTACATCATACTGAATTCTCAATTAAAAGAGGAGTTACAGAAAGAAAATCGTTGAAGAAAATGTTGCACAATTAGCAGCACCACCAACCCTGCTGCTGCACAACAGGGGTGTGCCACCCACCAGTTATCTCACTTAGCCCATCACAGACAGGCCTCAGGTGAGGGAACAAGGAGAGAGGCTTCTGTAGGCAACGCAGACTGAATGTGTTAACACCAAACAACCATATTTTGTCTCAACAGTTGCTAAGATTCATAAATCTGAACACTTATAAAACACTTGGAAGTTACACAAGGAAGTCGAGCGAGCTCAGCACTCCTGATGATGTGTGGAAAGAGGACACCACGGGGATACTTTTGATGGCACAGTCTTGGTGATGCTTTTGTGACACTGTTATAGTTTGCTGAGAGAACTGCAACTGGGTGAAGATTAGACAATGTGTTAGACACTGCAGCGTCTGTGATGTTAAAGAACAGGCCTGCAGTTAAATCACAGGGTGGCCTGAGTTAGCTCTGCCACTGAGCTGGTTCTGCAGCTTAAGCAGAAAAAACTGCCTGAGCTTTATGTTTAGACACCTCTCTGAGGAAAATCAAACCCTACTTTTCAAGCAGTGCTGGCCAGGAGCAGCTCTGATGCTTGGAGGGCTTTCCAGCTACAACAATTTGGGATGTTCCTGCCTTAGTGCCTGGGCAGTGCAGAGCGATGCTCCCCACTGAGCTCAGCAAAGTGTGGGTTCAGGCAGTTAGCTAAAGAAAGGGGGCAGGGTCATCACATCCCAAATAGACCTTGGAACTACAGATGTCAAAAGGCCTCTTGTGCTGCAGTGACAATTCAAGGCACTTAAAAATACCGATGTTCTACCACAGTGGGTACAGTGAGGTTCCCCTGTTACACTTTGCACCTTAACCAAAGTCAGCATTCATTTTTATCTCTGACAACCTATTTTTTTCCATGGTTGCCCTTCCTACACATGGAAGATCCTGATTTCCCACGCCCCACACCCAAATTTTGGCTTTTCTTTCCTACTCCCTTTTAGAGTCTAAAGCACTCCATTAGTCTCTCCAGATGTGTGGATGATTCAGGGCAGTTCTGGGGGAGGGAAGTGTGGGAGTGTCATGTTTGTGTTGTGGGCATGTTAAGCAGGTCCTTGAGCAAGACAAATGCCATATTTGATACAAACAACTGCAGAGGCTGAAAGAAGACGTTCTGTTACAAGGAGCCGTGGTGATTTGCTTAGCTGCCTCGTGTTGGAGTGACATTGCAAAGATAGGAGGTGGAAAGAGCAATTCACTTCAGGAGAAATGATTTTTTGGCAGGGTGGGTGGCCCAATGGGAGCACAGCAAAGTGCTGCACACCTTGCTCGTGTCTGGCTATATTTAATTTCCACGATGCACTGGGACCTTGTTATACTTTTTAAATCAATGGATTTTTCTTCAGCTGGCAGTTATGCCTCGATCTTAACTTTGGGCTTTGCTGTTTCTGTACAGTGATTTTTTCAACCTTAATAAAATATTACAGCCTGCCCTGAGACATGTCACAGTCACTCAGAGCCAGGGGGAGGTTTGACACGGCAAGGCCAAGCCTCAGCAAGGCTGATCTGCTCCCTTCTGTCATGCAAAGCCTTAATGGGGTTTCAGCAACGCTCTCACCTGTCCCTGTGTGGGAGGCAGGGATGACAGTCCACTCATACAGATGAGTGGGAGGTCATCAGCAAGGCCTGCTGGAACACAGGAGCCACAGTAGAATTGTGGTGTTCCTTGCTTTGTCTGGGAAGGGTCAGGGCTTGATCTGCACCTGGTGGTGTTTTTCCATGTCCAAACTACGGCAAAACAAGACAGGTCTTTTGTTATGCTGCTTCATGTGCATTTGGGTTCGTTTGGTCTATTTTAGATGTGCCTTGCCAAGTTCTCCAAGGGAATATCCTGTGGTTCTTTTTCTCCACGGGGGTACCCCGTGGTCCTTTTTGTTGTACATTTAATGGGTCACATTTTGGCTACAGTGAGCTGCCTGTGACATCAATCAACAAATGCTGTATTTACAGGATGATCTTTACCTCCAGCTGGCTGCTTAAGGCTGGGCAAAGACATCATCATGCCTGTAATGCCCATCCACCTGGGGGCCAGGGCATTACAGATTGCAGATGGAAAATCCTGGGAATGTGTTGGACTGGAGTAGATGGGAGTGTAGAAACAGTGATCATTCACAGCTGGCTTGGGATCACAAGCCTTGCAGGGCCAGAGCTGTTTCGAGGTGTCAGTAATGGGAGAGACTAAGGAACTTTGGAAAGTTGGACATTAAGGAAATTGGGAAAAGACAATATATTTTAAAGCGTTTTCAGATACTTTTACTAGAAATATCATTTATAGAATATATCACATTAATCAAAATGCTTTATCATAAATATTAAATGAGAGACGTAAATTTTTTTATTTGTGAAAGGGTTAAGAGTGATACCAAAATTGGAATGTTGTGGGGTCTTTTGTTAATGGCTCCTAAGAATTTGAGGAGCAGCAAGAAATGACCACACTATTAGGAAGTTTTTTTTAACCTTTAGATATTGAGCTGCGAAAATATGAAGGTCTCATTGCACTTTTACGAGGGAAGTCTAGCATGAATTTAATGAGAGGTGTTATGCTCCAGTGCAAAGTCCTCTTCATTACCTAATTTTGTTAAGCTATGTCATTATAAATATGCTAGGCTTAAATAAATATAGTTTTCTTCTTTCCTCAGGTATCCCTGTCACGGAAAAATAAAAGCTAGCAGTATGTTGGAGTTTGAAGTTTTTTTGCTTCTTTTCTATTCTTCTATCATTTTTTCCCTGTAAAATTTTGAAGTTTATATTTGGACCATCTTGGCAATGTGCTTAAAAAGAGGGAAGGCCAAAATAAAAATAGAAAGATGTGTAGGAAAGAAAACTTCATCATTCTTACAAAACTTTAAAACTGCAGTTAATGATGAAGAAAGAGAGAAACAGCATGGAAGTAATTGCTTGAATGCTGAAGAATTCCACAGAGTTTGACTCTGAAAATTGAACTGACTTTTTTTTTTTTTTTTTTTTTTTTTTTTTTTTTTTTTTTTTTTTTTTTTTTTTTTTTTTTTTTTTTTTTAAATCCAAATTACATCCAAAGCAAAAAAATATGCTTTGGTAGTTCTTACCAGATTTCTCTTGTCATCTCAACTCTACTTCTGATCTTTTTTTTTGTGTTATTATTTCACAATTTACAGCTACCCCTGAAGATAAAGCTCCTTCCCAAAATGTCCACTGCCTGTTGTAATGTCTTTCAGCTTGAAATGCAGCAGAATAAAATGCACTTTTATTGCAGAAGTTCTTTCTGCTAGAGAGGCCCAAGCAGGAGCACTCTACACGAGCCAGCTGTGGCTGCTTCTATAAATCCTGGAGGGTTTTTAACCAGCAAATCTTCGCAGAAGTGAAGGGGCACTTAACTACATGGCTAGATTTCATAACTTCTTTCAGAGAAGTGCATTCCTCAAGTTCATGTGCTGAAGGGCTCCAAGTACAGGCTGAGCATGAAAATAGCCTGAAACAGTTGTTCTGAGAGATGCACATGCCCCCAGATTACTCTTGGGGTTGCTCCTCAGTGTGATTATTAGAACCCTTTTCATTCTCAATTTTGCTAATGAACAAGATGGGCTTCTTTCTTTGGTTTGAAGAATCCAGCTTTCACCTACTCCCAGGATGAACACAGAAAAAAGAATTTTCAACGCTACGTGTTTTTAATTTCCGATTGGAAAATGAGTGTGATGATGCTGCAAATGGAGCTCAGGCTGTAGCTGTTGGTAATGGCTGTGCAGGCTGGGGATGGATAATTACTGCATTGCCGTTGTGAAATCAGGAATAAGGATTTTCACTTCTCCCTGGCAAGAAGCAAATTTATCACGCTGTCCCTTTTGCCAAAGGAGCAAAAAAACTAGGGTGAAAAATGCGATGCTAAGCGGGGATAAGAAAGCCTTGGAGCCTCGGGTTTTTGGGCCTGCAAAGTTATAGGATTTTGCTTTGTGGTGGCTCCTCAGGTAAAAGGGGAAGGGAAGGTTCATACCTGAAAGCACAGTGAAGACAGCAGCAAAGGCATTTAACTTGAGCCCATCTATCACACTGCTTGAATGAAAGAGCTCGAGGCACATAAGGCTGAACCCGACGACTAACAGCATGATGTACAACACCTCAGATACTACTGATAACCACAGGACACCTGCAATGCACAAGAAACAGCAACCAGTTAGCTGGGACATTCTTTCAACAGGGTAAAATCTGTAAATATTAATTAGGAAATCGGGAATATCTAGGAGTAACTGCGTATTAGGAAATGGGGGTTTTTTTGAAGGTTGGTTACAGCTGGTTGGTCTTTAAGGTCAACAAATGTCATTTTTTGATTTTTTTTTTACTCTTTATCACACTAAATGTATATTAGGAAAAATTTCTTCACTGAAAGAGTGATTAAACACTGGAACAGCCTGCCCAGGGAAGTGGTGGAGTCACCATCCCTGGAAGTGTTCAAAAGACAAGTAGATGTGGCAACTTGCAATATGGTTTAGTGGGCATGGGTGTATTTGGTCAAAGGTTGGACTTGATGGTTCTGTGATTCACAAAGTTTAAACTCATCAAACAACCACCCAAACTGTGACAAACAGAAAAAGGGGTAGATAAAGATGTGGAGTGGCAGGGGGGTAAGGACACTGCAGAAAAGGAAAAGGTGCTGTTTAAGATCCCAGTTTGACTAAAGAACCTCTTTCTGTGTGTCCAGGAACTTCTTGGCTCCTCTGACCCAAAGCAGAGCACACAGAATTCACTTTCCCTCCCTGTGCCATGGTTTGGATGAGCACACAGGGAGGTGATGGCACAGAACACCTGACAGTCTGTGCACCGGTGGGAGCTGGACAGGCTTGGATGCCTCCTTTTCACAAGGCTGTTCTAAGAAAAGCTCTTCAGGTTTTAAACTCTCTCACAGTGTAGTGTTGGGGACTGTTATCAGAAACTCTTCCACAGAACTGGTGCCCTGCAGAATGACTGTTTTGCCCCGAGGTGTTTGGATCCACCGCACAGGGCTGTGCCGCTGGGACTGACATGCAAACTGCCACAATTACTGCAGAGGGGACACACTTATTTATAACCTGCTCAGCTGAAGAGCTGCAGATACAAAATTCAAACTGCCTTCTGTTCCCTCAGCCCCTGGGGACGACCCTCAGAGGAAGGGCAGAGCTGAGGTGCCCTGTGTGAGCTCTGTGGGACTCTGGGGCTGTGCACGGGGCAGTGGGTCTGCCTGACCAGCAGAGACTGAGCCACCCACAGTGGGTGCCACGTTTGGAAATTTCAGCACAAAACCTCCAGCAGGATCTGCTGAGTCTTTTAAAGTCACCAAGCCACGGGGTAAATTGGAGAGGATGGGAACAGATGATAATATTGAGTCCCTGCCCAATTTCCAATTGCTGTTTCAGCATGAGAATCCGCTAAAATTCTCCAGTACATTTGCTAACCTGATTGCTGGAGAATTCACCTGGAAACAATGAGCAGTGATGGAAAATTTCAGCCTAAGCAGTTGAAACATGGAAAGTTAAGCATCTGAAGACAATGGCTTATATTAGAAAATGTTAGCTGTAACCATAGAGACTGCTACAGGCTTCACTTATATTAATACCTTCTCTCCTCACTGTAAGAGCACATGTGTGATAATGCCTACAGTCAAGCTTATCAAACCAGATATGCAGTCTCACTTTTATCAAATATTTGAGTGTTCTCTTGGTGACCAGGCTCACATTTTTTCTTCTGGAAACTTGTCTTTATAATTACATCTAATTAATATGAGCTAGTTGTTGTTGCCACCGTATCTGACCTTTTGAGTTCTTAAACCACACTACAGAGATAGCAATAAATAAACCTTTTAATTGCTCACAGAGGCTGTATGTGCAATATTGCATTTATCATCAGCAAACAGCTGCTTATCTCACTCCTATTAGTCAATGTGGTATCAGGCAACTGGCACACTCTTCCAAAAAGAAATACAAGGGAGAGAGAGCAATGGTGTTGTTCTGTGATACAGCAGGATTTAGAAGGGATTTTGACTCATTTTCTCACAACCAGCAGTTTCTATGATGAGAGAATGATGAAATGATTTGAGTTTGAAAGAATTAGATTACGAAAACCTGACCCATAAACCAAGGCAGCTGACAGCCCTAATTAATGAATTCTAATTCATTCACCCCCAACTTGAAAGATTAATACACAACACACCTGCCCAGATGTTTATTGCCCTGTTTCCAATCTGGGGGATACCCACTGGTGGGACCTGCACACCAGGGCAGTGCTGTAACAGGGTCTGCAGCTCAAAGCTGTGGGGTGGCTCTGTCTCTGCTTCCTTGGGGGGATAACTGGCTGCAGGGTTGGACTCAAAGAGTTGTAGTCAAGGGGTAACATCAGGCTGGTGGTTGTCACAAGAGTTGCTCAGTTTTAGGGCCAATTCAGGAGTTGAGTGAATGCTTAAGGAAGTTTGCTGGTGACACTAAATCAGGAGGAGACATTGAGTCCCCTGAGAATGGAAAGGCCTTAAAGAGATCTTGTAGACGTGAGTGCATCACCAACCATATGAGATCTGGCAAGGACAAATCCTGGATTCTGCTCCTGGAACAGCGCAATCCTGGATGCACCTACAGACTGGGGGACAGGAGGCTGCATTGCACCCCTGCATCTAGGGGAGCTGGTTGATGGCTTGGGGGTGCAGTTAATGTACACAGATTTTGTCCACGTTTTACCTGTTGCCCACCCACGAGGCAGTGCTTGAAGCTGGATGCTGCAGACACAAATGTCTGGACAGGAGGCTGGAGAGATGCACATCAATCTGTGAGGGAGGGTCTGGGTTAATGTGTCCCCAAGGCGAGTGAGGGCACATTGCTAATGGCAGCTTTGTGCACATTCAAGGGACAGGAGGGCTCTGGGAGGTGAGCTGGGCTAGGGCCTGGCTGGTGTCCTTTATCAGCCTGGGGAAGGAGAAAGGAGCAGGAGGACTGTGGGGCTGGTGTCACAGGGAGTGCTTTGGCTTCCCTTACCACAAGGCTGGGATAAGAGTGGTTTTGCCATCAAGGGAACCTTGCAAGGAGATGATGAAAAGCTCAAGGAGACACGACTTTGCTCTCCTATAAAACCATCTTCTGATGAGACACAAAGGCTGTGTGAGTTTGCTGTGGAAGGCATAGGCTATTCTTTTTTCTTTCTTTCTGTTCCTATCTGCAGAGAAACTCTAAGTCTAATTCTCATGTCTTATTTCATAGTGTGCACTGAATACCTGCTCTGAGTCTTCTTTAAATGCATCTAATGTGGGGGAAAGGCAAGTCCCACATGCAGTGTTTGCATAGTTCTGAGTATGTCCTGTTCTGCCTGCTTTGATTTTGAATTTCATCTGAAATAATAACACCCAGAAAATGCAAGCTGTATCTGAATTTTGCATCTTCCTGTGGCTGCCTGAAGCAGAACAGTTGCTTCAGGTTATTAATTCAGGAGGCACTGTCTTTCTGTTGTGTGCTGATGGTGAAGTGATCTCCCACTGCTACTCTCTCAACATGAGATTCATGAGGCAGTCACTTGGCATAACTTCCACTTACAATATCTTACAGTCTCCTTCCTGCAAAGTTGAGAGCTCCTTCTCTTGAGGAGACCTCAGTCATTCCAGGTGACAGGGAAGAGCTCTCCAGAGGATTTTTCTCTTTTCCAATCTTCTCTGCTGTCACCTTTTCTGCCTGTCTTACTTCCCTCCAGCCTGTGTCCTCTGCCCCAGGGATCTGTCTGGCCTAACTCAGCTTTTATGAAAAATCTCTCCTTCACGAGAGTCAGCAGTTGATTCACTTGGAGAGTTCTACCTGGATGGCCTCTATCTTCCATGTATTCTTACAAATCACCAGATTTCTCTCGTTTTTTTGGTCTTCATTCTGTTTATGCATTTTCCTTGACTGTTAATCAAACCGACTGCTGTGTGTGCAGAGAAGGGTTTGGGTACAGAGCTCAGCTGGGATGTGCCTCTTGTCCCAAGGACATTCCTTGTTGATGCAGAGGGATTGCAGGCCCTGCCCTGCCTCCTCCTCACCGTGTGCAGCATTTGCCAGTGAGTGTCACCCCTGCTCACTGTGTGGGAAATAGTGCTGGGACACCGTGGCCACAGTGTGAGACCTCCAAGGAAAGGAGAGTCTTTGACTCCCAGACAAAACTAAACCAAAACTGGTTTCACCTGCACACACATTCTCACAAGGATGGGTGTGTGCAAGGAGCACTCAGAGTTACTCTTGTGTGCTGTGGGACACTTTGGATCTTTGCTCCTGCTCCACATTTTCAGGACAAGCTCCTTGTGAAGCAAAAGAACTTGAAGTGCAGGACCTGGGCTGAGCTGCTCGCCTGGAACTAGAGATGGCAAAGCTGGGACTCACCAAAAGGTTTCATATAATTCAACTTCTATCATAGGTGTCCTAAATCAGAAGGAATCGTATCATCTTCGTATCATGTGATCTCATGGCAGGTTGTACTCGATATGATCACCAGCTTTGCCTAAAATGAAAACACAGCCCTGCTGAAAGCTTGTTTTTCATCTGTGCTTCTGTCATTATCCAGAGATCCTGATTTCACAAGAAGACTGGTGAGCCAACTGGGACATTAGTGAGCTTCTTTGTGTCTCTGAGCTTTTGTTAGTTACTCATCAACGTGCCAAGAGACTGTCTTTGAGGAGTTCATAGTGAGAAGCATCAGTGCCACCTCCTCATGGACTTATCCACTGCAGCAGCATTTTTACACCTTAAGGAAATCAGTTTTCCAGCATCCCAAGCGAAGTGAGCATACTCTCATTGTGACTGAAAGGATAACTGTTATCCACAGATTTTAGGCACTCAAGTCCATCATGAACCATCTGAGAAGATCAACCCTTTGCCTTCCTGACAGCAGCAACATTCTGAAAGATTTACAGATTCTGAGTGCACCTCTGCAAAAGCTGGTGATCATGTTGAGACAATGTGTTAACAAAAGGATGTGATAGACAGTCCTGAATGTTGTTCACAAAACCTGAAATCATTTCAAGTCAGCCCTGATCACCAGGGAAGGCACTCTAAATGAACATGCTGTCATCTCCCACCAAGGAGCACTCTGAGTCAGGGATCTCCAATGCTGAGTTTCTTTTGAAACAGGAATTTTGAAAACAAAAGCATAGGAATTCTGCTTAGA